CTTTCATTCAGCTAAACGTTATATACGATGTGATCACGAAAGCATTTCTCGAAACACTGAATGTAAAGTAGCATGAGAATAAACACCTGAAGAAACTCAAATATGTGTATATATACATGTGCGACATCTCTCGAGAGGATTTCGTGCTCATCAAATATCTTCCGGTGTCAGTAATATGATATCATACGTTGTGTTAGAGATGTGATCAAGTTCAATGCACTATTTATTACAAGGGTTGACTACAAATAAAAATTAATGCGCGCCGTTTGAAAAAGGGAGTGCTTTTTTTACGTATTTTCACGTATTTGACAAATCGCTGTTTTTGTTAAGTTATTCACTTCAAGAACATTTTTAAAAAAACTTTAACTTGACTTTTGTCTGTTAAGTTTTGATTTTAAACATTTATATAGTCTATATTGGGTAAATTGTCTTGGCTGTTCCAGTAGTTCATTATGTCAAAAGTACCACATAAATGTAATAGGGTGGAGTGTTACTTTTTGGTAGATGATGGAATACAGTGTAATAACTGTAAAAAGTGGTATCATAAGATGTGTACTGGATTACGTCCAGCTGCATGCAAACGTTGTATTGCTCCAACATCCCACTGGATGTGTAGAATGCATGTATCTCATAGTCACGTGCACAATTACTCAATGAATGGCATTGCTCTCCCAGTGGTCACTGAGTACAAGGACTTGGGAGTGGTTGTGCAGCATGACTTGAAAACAGCAACAAACTGTAGAGCTGCAGCCACTGAGGGTTTTCGAATATTATGGGCCATACGCAAGGCTTTTGCAAACTTTGACGCTGAAATATTTCGTATATTATATCCGACTTATATCAGACCTCATTTGGAATATGGGATCCAGGCAGCGAGCCCGTGTTTCAAATACGAAATAGACTTATTAGAAAGGGTGCAAAGAGTAGGAACTAAGCTAATAAAAGGTTTCTCAACCCTGTCATATGAAGAGAGGTTAAGCTGACTGGGTTTATTTCCACTGTCATACAGACGACTTAGGGGTGACCTAATACTAGCATACCGTATCCTAAGAAATGATTTTGGAGCTAATTTATCTAATTTATTTCTTCCTTCTAGCACCAACCAATTGCGAGGACATCACCTCAAGGTTCAAAAACCACGGTCGAATCGTCTGCGTTTGGAGATCCGTTTTTCACATCGGATTGTGAACCATTGGAACTCCCTACCGGAACACGTCATATCAGCGCCATCCGTTGATTCATTCAAGGCGAGACTGGACATCCTGTGTAACAAATCGAAAGGGTTAACACAGGCATATAGCCTACTATCCTAAATAAATTGTAAACTGTAAACTGTAAAACCACTTCAAGGATACTCCATCTAATGAACGAAGGTCTACTTCCTGCATAATCAGAAAATCAGATTTGCGATTTCTGGCTGATTTTTGTATAGCACAGCTTAAAGACTGTCAACTTAGCCAAACTATTGGTCACTTTGACACTTACAGAAGATATGTAGACGACACTTTCGTTGTCTGCAATCAGAATGTAATTCTTGATGATGGCTCATTTGCATTCAGCAACTGCCCTCGTTCTTTTCCATTCAACATAGAAAAGGAATCTGAACTAAGCATTCCCTTTCTTGATGTGTGCCTAAGTAAATGCAATGACGGATCTCTCAAAAGTTCCATCCATCGGAAATTTACAGGGAATGGACAACTAACTAATTTCTATAGTTGGGTGACTACCTCCGGGAGAAGGAACCATGCTTTAGGATAAGAAAAATTTCTAGTTCTGATTGCGTCGACTCAGAACTTGACCTCCCAAAAACCGCGCTCGCAGAAAACAGTTAGCTGAAACGATTTATTGACAGACACACGAAAGATAAGCAGTCCAAACTGGTCACCAAATCAGTTCCAAAGAAAACCTTATTCATCAAATTACAATTCACAGGTCGTCAAGCCTCACATAGGCTCAAAACCGTCTCTCTGAATCAGTTAGTCAAATGTTCTTTGCTGCAAAAATAGAATTGACATTTACCAGCCATAGGTTGCTCTCCATCTCTGTAAAATATAAGCTCCCCTGTCTGATCGTCTCCATGTGCATCTATCAGTTAACCTGCTCTTGTAGAGCAAGGTACATTGGCCGTAGCCTGCGAACGCTTTCCACACGGCTACGAAAACATATTCAAGCATGGTTTTACAAGGGATAAAGGAAGAGTCTGAGAAGCTCTATTCTAGGACACCCGATCAACTCCTGTCACTCTTCCAATCCTGAATAGGATTCTAAGGTCATCTACAGAATCCATGCTAATTTGCAGCGTTTTCTTCGCTAAGACTTCTAAAGACAGCGGTGGCCTTGGCCATTCATGAATTTAAGCCAGACCTAATGTACACGAGAAGTATGTACAATCCCTACTTCTGCCTTGGTCGTAGATGGACAGACATTTATTTATTTACTTATCTTATTTATTTAGTTAATCTGTGTACCTTTCCCTCATTACTGCGATTATTATTATTATTACTTTTCTCACTTTGAATTGTTTCCGTTTGTCCCACTTGTCATTCTAAATCCAAAAAGTGCTTTTACTTTATTGAATTCTATCTTATCAAATTTCACACCGTGTTGTGTAACATTTTATATCAGCCTGGTAATCCCATAAATATACACCCCTTTCTCACATCTATACATCTTATGAAATATTCTATATACCATACTTCTTGCCTTACTACTTGACATTTAACTATGATTATAACCACATATATTTTGATTGCCTTTCATGCTATTATAATTTCATGTATTTACACCTATGATTCAATTCCCTCACCGGATTTAATTTATTAGAAGCCAAAAAGATATACGATTGTACAGCTTGATAATGTGCGTCGGCAGCACAGCGGTTAGGACGCTCGCCGACCATGCACATGGTCCGGGGTTCGACCCCCGACCGACGCACTCCTTTACTTCGATAAACCACTAATAAAGCTGGTAAACAGGAAAGGTTGGGCATGAGGCTAACAACCCCATGCTGTAAAAATTAGCACTGCTACAGAAACTTCAAGCCTCTAGCTTGGAGCCATATGCTCCACTGGGAACGTGAAGGAAAAAAAAACAGCTTGATTATAAATTCCCTGAAAAGAGTCTCTTCACGGAATAGTGCGTTTTTAATGCTACAATGGGAATGATTGAGTTAACAATTTTTCAAAAGTATTAGTCGAAATACAGCATGAAATTTTCAACCACAGCAGCTTTTCCACATTTACAGTAGGAATAATGTGAAAAATGTGCAGAGTAGGAAGTGAGAATAATAACTGATATTATAATAATAGTAGTGATAATAATAACAATAGGTTTGTTTCATCTAACATTGTCAATACAATACGGAAATCTAAGCATGTTACAGAATGTTGAATCTAATATTCTAATGACACAGCATAGTGAGGGAGAAAAATAAAACACATAACATTTACTACATGGGATTAAGTGGTGTTTACACTTATGAAAAAATGAGAAGACTATAAATATAATAGGAATAATAACAGTAAGATCTGATGGTATAAGGATGCAGAAAATTGCTTATTTTTACCGGTCGAAGTGACAGAATAAGCGACATTTCAGAAATTCACTCATTCTGCAATAACTTCGTATCACAGTTGGCGTCCTTGAAATACTAACAGTTGTTAGTTGAAGGATCCATGCAAAAAAGTTTATGGTCGTCCATAAGCTTACGCATGTATTCACTCCTCGTCTTCTTCAAAATTCAAATTCTTACAACCTTGATAAAAATCAAAATATGCACACAAAGTTCTACCTAGTCATGTGATTAAGTCTGTCTATTCACGAAGTTTGTTGGTGTAGAGGCAATGACAGTAAATATGTGTTGAATTTACACTGGTGTAGTTTTCACCAGCACAGAGAGATACTCGGGTTCCAAATAGACCAAACCACATGCCTAAAGAATGTGACAGCAGGCGCTTAAAACAGGGAAGGTTCGGTGTGGAAAAAAATATCCGCTACTCGAAAGTCGACAATGTCTTCCACTCACATTGCGGAGAATTCATATTAAATCGCTTTCAAAAGTATCCCCGTCTACTTATTTGATTGTAAAGGCTTCCTAGCAGATGAATGTCCTTAAATTTCGATGAACAGTGAGAATGATCAGAGGCGAAAATTCACGAGCTGTCCAAATCTAACCAGTATGATATTTGAATGGCTACCTCCAACCACTTGTTGCCTAATGGTCTTCTGATGGGCAGTTAACGGCAGTCACACCTTTAAACTGCAAATAACACGATATCTTTGTATTCACTGATGACGTTTGTTAGCAACCATGACTATCAAGACGGTTTATCCATTACAATCGAAAATGCCTTTTTGATATTATCACAGAAAATTGTTTGATATTCACTTCCAGATGCAGATCAGACGCCCCACGGTATTCTGGGAACACATCAGCAAACAACCTGTCGCCCAATAAATATGAAACAGGAAATAGAGATGGAATGGACATAAGTTTAAGTGAAAGTTCAGTGGAATTGTGCACCACAAAGCCCCACTGTTGCAACCCGAATACGAAACGGCTAGTTAGGCGTGCGTGGGAGATAATGAGAGAATGAGACCAAACCAAACAGGCAGTCGTGAGACCAACTAAACAGGCCAGCAGAGAACAGATTAAAACGGAGCTGTACTGCTACAAACACATGTCCCACTCGCAGCTCATAGGAACAAGGATAATGACGCGTCGCATCGTATTCGCTAACTCCTCAGTTCATTGTAAGATATTGAAGTTCAAATCAAAATTAGCTTCATTGGTTATTGAGTATGTATGGTGCGTAGTCATATGCAAATACATTTCATATTCTAATATTTATTACACTTAATTTAAAATTAAAATACCTACTAAATATAGTATTATTCAAAGTTTCGATTTCACAAATCACAATGTCTCGACAAATGCTATCATCAATCATTATATATCTCCTTCTTCGTATATTTTCAAATGAAATTGAGAATAAATGCCAAAATAATTCTTTTTTATTGTTTTCCAGAAGAACAAAATTAGTCACAACAACTCAAAAATGAATCAATTATTGATAAATTTAGAACAACCCGACTAAAAATGTCATGTACTGACTGAATAGCATACAAAACTTAATATATCAAGAAATTTCAAAGTATCGTTGGTTCTATTTTGCACTTTGAAGGATCTCTCGGTAAAGTGTAATAGAATTCCACTGAACTGACTATAAACAACAAAAGTAAATTTGCGTGTAAGATAATCGATGCCAAACAGTAGTCTGGATCGATTGTCCGTAGTCCAGGTTGACCAAATGTCTTTTGACCACCGATGATAGCCAGCTGCAAAGGAAGGCATAAACCATGGTTGAAGTGACATTTCATTAAACCTATATATAATTATACCTTCAAAATGTTAATCGTCTCCGTAGATTTGTTATCCTCCGTTATCGTCAGAAATGGCACACACACACATTAAGTGTGCTTAATTCAGAAACATGCTAACAGTTTTCACACCAGGTGACTACCACCTGGAATCTGCATCATTTCCAGATATTTTAATACCTTGAGGTTAATTCTGTCAATCGACTTTTAGTATTTGTTGAACAACTTGTTCCTGTCTATTTCATTTGTTCGTGTATCTAAGACTGATCAAATCGTTCGCCATTGTTTCATTCCATCTTCTTTACGGATTATACTGTACTGGACGATAATGCAATCGTTGAAATCGAAAACATTTATGGTGTTCACCTGCTATTCCCCTCATTTGGTTGTATTTACTATCAAAATGACAGCCTGAATTGCTGGAACGAAATTAGTGTCAGCATTAATCGACCACTAATATGGAGATTTCGAAAGCAACACATCTTTATTCATGTGTCAGTGTAGCTTTCAAAGATATCTTCGTTTGATTTTATTTGATCACCATGTTAACTGCCCCATAGTGAGTACCGACGCATCATCTTCTCTACGGACTGAGTCTCAGAGGAAAACTGCATAGAAGTGTGGCAGTTCATTTGCTTGTGCTCCAAGTAGCCCAGAAATTCATATAGATGAGAGAAAAAGAAATTCCAAAGGGTTGAATATTAACATGGAGGAATCCGTGGGTTTCATTAGATATTGGAGATCATAGAGGGTGAATCCTTTTGCTCATCTGTAGCGACTTCGAACCATATCACAGATAGCCTACATTATGCTGATACCAACTGTAGAAGTGCGCCGGTGGCATAGTGGTTAGGATGCTCACCGACCATGTACATGGTCCGGGATTCGATCCCCGGCCGACGCACTCCTTTACCTCACTAAGACAGAAATAAAGCTGGTATAGGGGTTACGTTGGGCATGAGGCTAGCAACCTCATCCTGTAAAAATAATCACTGCTAAAGAAACTTCAAGCCTCTAGCTCGAAGCCCTATGTTCCACTGGGAACGTGAAGGAATAAATAAACTGTCGAAGATTTCGTGGACTGGTGCAACCTACAACTCCCCGCTAACCTACTCCCATCTCACCTAACACTGCTCGTCGACGAAGGCTGGGAGTTCACAACACATGTAAACATTTCAATCGACACATCTACAAAATCTTAGGAACTGACTTCTCTGCCTTAACCAGCAGTCTTCGTCTACCCTCACTACTTGTCACCATACTATACCGCCCAACACGCGAGAAGGAGAGGCAGATACCTGTGGTCAGAGACAGCTAGCTGACTCATATATTTCCCCCTCAATGGCCATGACTAAGTCAAAAAAGTAGACAGGGAGGATCGCTGTGTAGCACAGAGAATAAAGAATTCATCCATGCTGCCAATTCTACAACGTGAAATATTATTTGCTCTGAGAATACTTCCCCACACGAATAATATCTGAGATTATCCCAATCTGTTACAATTACGTGTTTCCAGAGTTCGAAGTGAACAAACTTCACATTCTTGCCAACTCCTGATGAGCTCATGAATTCATGTGTACGTTTTGATGGCAAGCAGACAATACTGATAAAGAAGTGGTTATTCACTATTTGAGTTGCTGAACAGGCTTTGAGGAGTATGCTACTAACAAGTTCATTTTCATCCAACAATATCATAACTCGTCACCTAAGCAATACACGACAAGACATCACAATCAACAGACAAAACACCCCACACCTACTTCGAATTCCTTCAGCTGTCTCCACCAGAACAATGCAAACTAATTTAAGCCTTCAAAAAGAGACTATTACTGCTCTTATAAGAACTCTGGCTGCGCAATGTGATGCACCATGTGATTCATGCATGGATGAATGAGATGTCTTTCATCAGTTAATCTACATGACGGTCTCATGCTCCTGTGTGAACACTGATGTCAGTGTTTCAAACTGTCTCATATTTAGGAGAATGTATTCGTTCCTTACCACAGTATGAATCGATCAATTATTCTTTTATTCATTTAGATATAATAGAGAAGTATGCGCTGAAGATGTTGCTCAGTAGAGCAATGAAAGCTTCGCAACCAAACCATCCAGCTCAGAGAACACAACCACACCAAAATCTTTTATTCATTCCTCTTATCATCCAATTCTATTCAGCACTACTCACTAGGATATCTAATAGAAAAAACTGCAGATACCATTTTAATGGAAGTTCTGTGTGCAAATATTTATCGTCAAGTGGGTTTCCAATGACTTTTCTAAGGCCACCGAGTAAGCTATACGTTCTATTACTGATTATATGCATTCATGTTGTTTTGTAAGAAATGAAATAAAGTGTTTTCTACAGTAGATTGCCTACTCGTCTTTTATTGTATCATTCTCCTTGAAGATGTACAACACCTCGACTGAATACAGTTGACAGTGCTCATGACATTGGCTACCGTCTACTGACCAGTCAAACTATTCATCACAGTCCGACAGGAGGTCAGCCGTCCACTCAAATATCTCCATTGTGACATCACTGGCTGCAACACTGGGTGACAACGATTAGAATCTGCAAAGTGACATGAGTTCCTTTAAAATTGCAGATAAACGTTTCTGACTCATGAGTGTCAATGAAGATGAAACCTGGTTGGATGGCTGCCTACTGATTGCCTCTACTCACCTAGCATCGAAGTGTGCTGTCGAAATTGTCTCTTGTTAAACACTTAGTGCATCTATTTATTTTCGCATTCTATATACGGTAGTAATAAAAATGAGAGAGAAAATGACTTGAAGCACAACTTACAATAATTATTATGACAGCCATGCCACCACCAAATACAATCATTCCTACCTGAAAAGAATAAATATGAACGTATTGACGGGGAATATGTGGAGTAGCATTCATTAAAACATCAATTGTTGAGTGTTTTGAAACAAAAGATGAATGTGTATCCATATCACGATCTGATGACCAACAGACACCGATCACACTGTCATACTACACACTACTGACTCAGTGACCGGTCATTTGGGTTCAGAAAAGATGTACAAAGCGATGGAGTAACAAGTGATACACGTCGCTTAAGGCTTTTGTGTTTTGGCCCAGGTGCCTGTTGGATAACACACTCTTACGTTTAGAACCTGGTTTGATTGCTTCAAGTGTCACAGAAAATGCTTTCCCTCTATTAGAGGTAGGTGAACAGAGTGAAACGAATAACTTAAACTCTGCATATGGCCACCATATATCAGATTATATTATCAGTATATTTCATTAATAAGTATTTAATTTAAGAAAATAAGTATTATTAATTAACATAATAATGAGTTAATTCTCTGAATGTGTTGAAAATTTATAAACTTTGAAGTGTTAAGTAACGGAGGGTGTATTAATATACGCCTCAACTAAGTTTACACTCAACAGTGTGAACAGATGTAGGCATGGAAATTCACTGTCATAAGGGTTTGTGTATTACCCAGTGAATGAAAAACAAAACATGCAATGATTTTACTGACGTTTCGCTATTTAACGCAGCTAATAGCTTTGTTATTAATGTTAATATTGGACCATAGTTGGATGGAGTATTGCATCATGAACTGATATCCCTACAAAACTAGTACTTGATATACAGTTGGTTGGTCACAGTTATTCGTCGTGAGGTGAAGTTGACAAACAGTGTGCATACTGTTAGATATGATCAGTGTATGAAATTACAGAAACAGCATGAGCTTATGTAACAAAACTACTTTACATATATTTGCGTTGATTTCATCACTTCATGTGACGAATGGTATGTATTACAACCGGATCAAATTCTATCTAAATCCGCAATTCTTATTTATTATTATTATTTTTATTGTCTCCTTTAATTCCTAGAGGAACATAGGGCTTCAGCCGTGCGTCTCCATTGCCTTCGGTTCTCTGCTAGAGTCTTCACCTGGCTCCAAGTCTGCCCACATGCTTTCATCTCCTCTTCACATCACCTCCTCCAAGTCACCCATGCACTGACGACCAACTCGCCGCTTCCCTTTCGGGTTCCACTCGAGCAATGGCTTGTCTAGTGATATCACTTGATGGTTTCCTCAGAGTATGGCCAATCCATCTCCATTTCTTCCTGCCTATTTGTTTCACAATCGGTTCCTGCTGTGTTGGTTTGCTCCCAGAGATCTCTGTTGCTGATCTTTTCTGGCCATATGATCTCGAGTAGTATTGAGCGAAGACAGCTGTTAATGAAGGTCTGTATTTTGTTTGAGATGCTCTTTATGACGCGGCGCCAAGTCTCTGATCCGTATAGCAGCACTGATTTCAAATTGGAGTTGAAAATCCGGATCTTATTTTTCCTGTTCAGTGTTTTTGACCTACACGCAGATTTGAGAGTATTGAAAGCTTGTCTTGTTTTCCCGATCCTTGCTTTGATATCCTCGTCAGTTCCACCTGTAGTTGAAACGATGCTTCCCAGGTAGGTAGAGGAGGTTGATTCTTTCAGGTTCCTCCCATTTATGTTGATTGTTGTCTGTTGTTGCTGCTGTTGGTGGTGTTGGCCAGGAATCTTCATCACCTCTGTTTTCTCTATGTTCACCTGAAGTCCTATCCTATTTAGGCAGCAGGAATTGATTTAGTATAAAGTGCTTATTATCTGAATTATTCTATGTGATTTCCAAAACATTTGTGGATGATATCAGCATCATCGAAAGTAATTTTATGACCTAGTTCTGTGATATGTAGAAGCACGACTAACTATTTTCAGAGCTTTGCTGATTTCACTGGATTTCTCAGTGGTCGAATAGATGCTCTACAGTGTTCATTTCTTCTCATCTCAACTACTCACGAGGTTCTTCTTACGTGTATTGCATCACATTTTCAGAATTATATCTCTTATGTACACAAATACTTTCTAGTGTGTCCCATGTTTCGAAGAAAAATCTGGTGTCACATTTATTCACCACACTTCTTATATCACCTCGCACGACTACTTCATGCTAGATAACAACTGTCGAGCTCTAGGATTTCCGAATATGATCTCGATTATGTTTGTTGTTGCTGCTCATTTTGTCAACAAAGTCCTTTGGATGATTACTCTTTTTGTTAATTTCAGTAATATTCGATATTAATTCTTCTTCCTTGTCCTCTGCATCTGTTCTCATACAGTGTGCTCATTCGGGAAGACTTCAGACAATAACGATAGAACCGACTGAATGCACAACTAGGAGTCTTTTATGCATAAATATCCACTTGCCTAAGTATAAATTTCAAATGAAATCACAAAGTAATACTTACTTTCAAATATCCTATAGTAGTTAACACCAAACTAGTGATTAATGTCGCAATGAATTCAGAAGCGAGGAATGCTAATAGTAAGCGCCAGTAATTCATCAAATCCACCCGAATAGATGCTCCACCCACTACAGTAGAGAAGAAGAGTATAAAGGTTGTTCCCCAACTTGTTAATGCCCAGAGGATATTCATACAGGCAAACGGCAGTCCCACTGCAATAGATGCGGATATTGTCTAAGGGGTACATGGGAACAAGGTAAATATAAACACGTGAGTTATACTCCTTATTTAAAGAATAATATGTACTTGAATGTTCGTATTGGTCATTGTATTTGAATATTGTGGTGTAGATTTTCAGATAGATGGAAAGCATACATCAGGATCAATGGCGATAGCTACTTCACGCAGACTACTAGCCTAATTGGAAACCTCCTGCGCAGAATCATGAAGTTTAAGATAAGTATTCGAGAGCTATAAAATCTGAACAAACAGAAACGCACTTGCACTGATTCTCAGGTCTATTCAGTAGGTTAAATTATCTCCCTAGAGTAATACATCCAATCTTCAATCATGTATTTACTGAATAAATCGTGGACCTTGTGAAAAGTGAAATAATAGGAGGAGGTGTTAACTTGATACTGAAAGAAAGACATCTCTGGATCAAGACGCATAGGTATTTTGATGTCATTTGCGTTTGTGGTATTTGTAGTATTTCATCGGCATTACACAACCCACATCTTACTTTCAATTGTTCCACTTCGCGAAGTCTTCCTTATACAGAAATGTACCTGAAGAAGGAAACAGAATGAATGAAATTTGCGGTAGATGTTGACTATCAATAGAATCTGGGATGAGTATTTCATCCTATTCGGGATTCATCATCTGGATTTTCCTGCAATTCCGCCTGAATGATGGTGTTCTTACTGAGGCTTGTAGTTACACTCAGCTGACGCCCACCAAATGGGGGAGTCCGCATCCTGAATTCCACTACATGTCACCGTCTGTCGCGTAACTTCACTTTAATCCTTAGATGTCGTCTTGTCGTCCGTCCCAGCAGCTGACGTATCAAAAGCCACGCAAAGTTTCAGTCCAGTAAGGAAATCGAAATGAAATTGAATGGAATTTCGCTCAAAATAATACTAATATTATCATTTATAATTGATCTCAAAATAAAAGAATTCTTACGTATACACTGAGAATGATTATGTTGATTGGGAGTAGAAGTCTGATTTTTGGGATAGCAAGAAGTGATAGGGCTGACATATCAGCTATCACCCTGAAAAATAATGAGTAAAACAAATAATGGTGGTTAAATAATGCACCTAGTTGTGTCCTTGTCTGAAACGCGATTCATGAGCTTACTGTATATTCATAAACAAGCAAAACAATAATTTGTACAGCGAGGTTTACTTCTGTTGGATATTATTGGTATTGATTATTAACTACACTACAACATGACTACATTTCAGAGGAAATGTATATCGTCAATTTGTTCTGCTCAAGGACGAATTAGAAACGTGAATGTACAGCTAACGATGAACAATCATTTGTTTCCACCAACGTGTCTTGTGATGTCCTCCATTTGTGTTCCATTTAGGTGACATTGTATCAACAGCATTTTCGACTGGCATCTGTCAGACTGTCGGTGGCTTCAAACTATGCTTCCAGGAAGATACTAAAACCATATTTTGATGGTGGACAGAATTCCAACGATAATTGAATGAATGGATGAAGAAGTGCAATACCGCTTGCATAGTGCGGTTTCCAAGTCATTCATGAGTTACTCTTTTTGATCAATTTCCACTCTGTTGCGAATCTCGATATAAACCCCAACGTCTTTGAAAGTACCTTCGATAGTGTTGACTGTGAATGGATTTGGAAACTGCTTTCAGTCTCAAATGGACACATGATGATGAAACATGCTAAGTGAGTGATTCAAAACGAAAACTCAGTGGAGTATTCGAAATGAGGAGAGGAGTTAGTCAGTGCTGACTACCATCAACCATAATTCTCCTGATTATGGTGGACTGGATCATCCAAAATGTCAGTAGGTAAAAAGAAAAAACAGGCATACGTCGGAGCGAGGAAACCACACTGAAAGATATGAACATCGTGAATTATTTATGTCTAAGTGGACCTACAGGAGAAAACCAACAGGTTGGTAGCAGAGGTAGGAGGCCAAGGTGGGAATTCACGGGAATACAGGAAAGAGAGGCATAATGGCGTTAACAAACTAACAACAACAATAAGCACCATCAATGGAAGAAGTCTGAATGAGACCACTTCTCTCACTTATTTCACCAATATACTTCCAGCTACACACAGCATCACGGATGAGGATGTCAGAGACAACCTCCGTTATTCTGGGATCAGTTTCGAAATCTGGTTCATTCAGTGTGAGTAAAGAGATTTGGATTTTCAACACTCATGTCAGCGTATTCAGCACTCCTATGTGGTTCAGATAATCGGCCCAAACCTCAATAAAAGCATTTCTAACAGCTTCTTGCAGACTATTACCAACATCCACCTTCACTCCACACCTAAGTTCAGATGGCCAACCCAAAATGATAGTCAAGAAGGAACTCTGCCATTGCGGCGTACCAACCAAAAGCCTATCACCCGAAAAATATGCAGAACAAAATGGTGACCCAATGAACGGTCATGAAGCCATCTTAAAATGATAGTGGAAATGAGAGTGAAGGGAAGATATGTTGTTGAAGCTATGTGTTCCACTTGGAACCCAAACGCATTGTAGTTATAATAATAACACAATCTGTTCGAAATGGATTCGTAAACACGTTATCGTGTAAAATTCAGTCATCAAAGTATTACCATTAATCCAGGATCTAAAAAACTAAGTACGATTAAATGCAAATCACACCTGATTGAACAACATTATACAACAAATTATCAATAAGCATACTCGATAGTGTCACTTGTTTCCATGGTCACGATAAAGGAAAGACTCACGTGAATATAATTGTGAATATTACGATACACTTGAGTATATTCTGTATAGAGTATGCTCTGTGGAACAAGGCACGTAATTAATTTTGATGTGATGACATACATTGCTGACACGGACAATGTGACTGCTATACTCACGAATGTTTGGATTCCCACCAGCAACATTACCTAAGTGTGATGCATGAGATGACAATGGAATATCCACCATTCTCGTGTATGACAATCGTCTTCTCGAGACACTATGGAGATGGTTTAGATTTACATTGATTTTTGTCTTCTCCATACTTCAAAACCGGTAGACAATGGTGGTGAAATCTGCTCGAATATTTGAACTGTTCACTAATGTGAGCGTGAAGGTAGAGAAGTAATCAATACCAATCAAATACAAACTGTATATAGTCAATTCAAACCAATGAAATGAATTCGCCGCACAAGGAACTTTGATTTCAGTTCAATGAACAAAAGCAGAATCATAATTGATACTTGTACTGTTTTTTTTCTCTGTTTTGTTTACTTAACTTAAGTGCTGATTTTGAATGCGCAAGTAATCGTCTGACCTTTGAACAATAAACAGAGAGATATCAAACAATAATAAAGACTTTGATTGCGACAGTAATACTGTGGTGAGGGCTGACTGCTAGCCGACATCGGCAGATAGTAATTTACGTCAATGTTGACGTCCCCAATATTGGTCGTGAGAAAAATAAAAACAAAGACTGGTTCAATAACCAATCGCAGCAGACTTTGCGTTGGCGGATACAATTTGCAGATAGATAGTCTGAACTTCAAGAAACGGCCACAAAGAGATGAAAGATTAGCACGTTCAGCAAGAAACCACCAATCAGAAGATTGTGTTTGTTTGCTAACAATAATCTATAATAATGTACATGAAAAGCTATAAATATGTGTTGATTTCCTAAATGAACGATCTGTTGCCTGACCTTGTCTTCTGTCGTTACAATACTACTGTAACGGAGTAACTGGTTGGAAAAATCGTCTTCATCGACCTAATTACAAGATTAAATTTTGTAATTACTGTCCATTTTTCTCCTAGACTGTAAGTCACGTTCTGACATTTGCCAATCATATGTTGACTTGACCCGTATTATTTGTCGCTGTCCTTGCCTAATCTCTAATTTTAACGCTTGTCTTTGTGGTTGTGAGATAGACTGACATTGAGTTGTTTTACGATGTGATTTTGTTCTAGTGCGCGAAGTTCACACTATCCTTGGACTGTGTGCGGGAAGCGTTGGTGTGTGATCCTTGTGGACAGAGTTCTGATCCCACCTTCTTCTAGCGAATATTACCTTTAATTCTAAGGCACTTCCTCTTTAAAGTTGGATTTCGGTTAACTTATTTTGTTCCACAGTAGTTTTTTTGTACTTAGAAATTTACCTCGTCTGTACAGCTGTCTGGTTGCACTTTTGAGGTAATTCTCAGATTTTGGTGTTTATTGTTGTTGCATAGAACCACACATATCCATCGACAAATAATCATCAGTTTGCTATCTTTGGAGCGTTTTATCACTAAGTCTGTCTCAAGAAAGTTTTGCGATCTATACGGGAGAACTCACAGTCTGGTTCCCTCCGTTCACACTGCAATGAGTCGGTCTGGCTTTTTTTAAATGCTGCTACGATTACTACTTTTACTGATAATAATGGTATTATTAACAAGCAAACTACGGCAATTGTTTCATTTTGCGTCTGTGGCACAGCGGTTAGGACTCTCGCCGACCATCCACATGGTCCGAGGTTCGATCCCCCGCCGACACACACCTGATATTTATGGTCGGCCTGCTAAATTTGGGCTACCGATATCACATGCTGAAAATTTTATATTTGTACCAAAATACTGTGGAATCAAGCTATAATAAAATAAAAAAATAAAATAAAAAATAAGAACTAAAAGTATGTGTGTTTAGGTGTATGGCGCCGTGTGCTGATATGTTTTTGTGGGCATTTATATCTGTTATATGGCACAGATTAGTATTGAGCTTATACATTGGAGAAGAATATTTGAGGGATTGATTGGACTGAAGTTTTGCAGACATTTTGGATTTTCAGTGAGATATATAAAATGGAACAGGTCTTCAATCATCACGAAATAAAGCTTAGAATAGCAGTCAACTCCGCCTCTACCGCATATTCCTTCATCGACTTCGACAAGAAGTAGTTTGGAAACTACTTCAACACTACGGTGTGCAGTACCTAAACCTTTATCAACCTCATTCAGCAGTAATATGACAATAGCATGTGCCAGGTGATCTACAACGGAAACCCCAACGAGATGTTGGAAGTGCATAGAGGAGTAAGACAAGGCTGCTGGTGGACTGGATTATGCGGATGACTGTGAGCTGGAATGGAGAAGACAGGGATACGTTGGACCACCAATAAGAAGACTCTAAGGCATCTGGATTTCGCAGATGTCATATGTCTGATGTCACATAAACTCGAAGACTTAGAGGCGAAAACCGACAAACTGGCTAAAGAGGCTCTCTGGAAGTGAAGGCAGGACTCCAAGTGAACATAGGAAAGGTGGGGATGAAGGCGATGGAGATAAACAACCAATAGCAACACCAACACCTACCAGCACCAATCACCATCAACAGGAGACATTCAACAGAAGGTACCTCCTTCATTTATCCAACTAGGAAGCATCGTTTCAACTGCAGACAGTCGGAACGGATGAAGATGTCAAAATTGGAAAGGTGCAATACGCCTTCATCAACCTAAAACCGGTTTTGAAATATTCTGCACTAGGTATGAAGAGCAGGATTCGGATTTTCAACACCAATGTCAAGTTGGTCTTTCTATATGGGTCAGAAACTTGCAGACTCTTAATAACGTCTGCCTTCACTCCATATCAAACATCAAATGGCCAGCCTCCCTGAAAGAATTAGCTACAAGAAACTCTGGCGAGCAAAAACCAAAAAAGAGCCGATTGCTCAACAAATATGGAGGAGAAAGTGATGATGGATTGAGCATGAACCAATGAGTAGGCCGTCGAATAACATTAAGCACAATGCAGGCGATTGCTCGAGTGGAATCCCAGCGGGAAACAGCAAGTTGGTCGTCATTGTGACGGTGACATGCAGTAGATTGTCTGGCAAGATGGAGATAGGAGATTATGTGCAGTTATGGACTCAGCCAGCTGAAGACGATAGCAGAAAATAGAACAAAGTAAAGATGTATTCTTTAGAGCTCCATGTTCCATTTGGAACTCGATGGGATAATAATAAGTAGTAATAATATTCATTCAAATGAATTCACTCTTAATTGATTGTCCCTAGTTACATATAGACGAAAGTATTGATTCCAACGTAGATCTCGTCACGAACCAGTATTATTCAGAGATCGCCGGAAAATAGTTTTATTCTAATACTGAAGTCTTCAACAGTGTGAATCCACGACCCCACCTGGAATGAAAATTCCTATCTAACTGTATTTTTAATCTTTTTGAATGTCTTAAAACAACCTTCTGTTCTCGCGTAAGCGTATACATGTCAGTGGCGGTATGAAGGACATGAATTAAACTCCTGTGATCGGTGAAGTTAGAGAACTTACCATCTTCGACGAAGCGAAGGAAGTGTTTAATGGAAGCATATATGGCGAGTAGTTCGCCAGTGAAAATTCTATATGATGTGCATTAAAGATATCTAAACCCAAACAGTTATCATATCCACTCCTCTATTTTATACCCTTCAATATTAAATCATCACTCTGATGATTCAGACATAAACAGACCACTGAAATAAGAAGCATTTTGTCCTCAAAACTTAGTGACTAGTTTTGCATTACATGACGTCATTCATTGTAGATTTCAAAGAAGGTATGTGGATGGAATTTTTAATGCAGAGAAAATTGCCTTTAATCATAAGAATAGGAATAATAGCTTTATTCTGAAGAGTTTTTAGCGAAATCAATTGCGTAATATTGTCTCCTTGTCCAGGGTCTTCAAGTAAAATATTAATTGATAGTAGACCATGTGACACCATACTGTCTAACCTGAAGCTCAAAAAAATCCCCTATAAAATCTCTTCATTTTCTCCTTCGACAGATGCATGACATTCAGTTGAAAACGGATTTTAAAAAGGTAAGAATTGAAGACCGCAGGTATTTAGTTTTATTTCTCGGGCATTTGCAGTTTGTAATAAAAATCTCGAGAGCAGTTATCTCATGTAATGGGATACATTCTCATCCACGACTGTGCTTCTTCCAAAGTTTAAACCCCTCACAAGGTCTGGCTTACCTAAACAAACTATGAAACTATTCGTTACCAAGTCCTGACTGCCTGAAAGCCAACCTGCTTCAGATCAATCCCTCCAGTTCTCAATTAGGCTTTTAGCTGATATCCTGTTTTTCCTTCTTTCCTCTTTATTCTGTCTTCTGAGGAATAGATCTAACCGACAGAGATTGTGGAGGCTAGTTAACAACGTATTTCGTTGATCAGAGAGAGGAGCCCAGTACTGCCTTAAAATGATGATTTTGCTGGAAGTAATTTAGTACACGTCCTGCGGTACCTTGTATCAAAGTTATCACACTGTATACCTTCGTCTACAACAAATACTATCATACTTGTAGGTTGGACTAAGATTAATGTACATAACTCAATGAAATATATGCATAAAATATCACTGAAACCCGGAATTCTACTGATAAATACCAAATCACTCATATCACTGTCACATTTCTGTAGACATTTACTAAATACAGCCTGAAGCAACTAAATTTTAGAATACTTTTCGATTACAGAAATTCAATTGGACGGTAGAAACTGTTAGAACATAATTCTTTAACACTTGATCGGCAAAAGTGTAACTAAGAAATAGAAGAGAGGGATATGTGTGATTTAAAAATTCCATTCTATAAATTTAGAAGAATTGCCTAATTTCGCCTCTTCCATGTGTATCCACCAATTTAACTGCTCATGTGAAGCGAGCCAGTTACATCTGCCATGCAATTAGGTGTGTTTATTGTCGCATTTTTGAACACCACCCTGCGTAGTCAAGTTAAGAACAAACAAAATCTGTTCGCAGCGCTATTCTATCTCATCTTGTGGATGCAGAACACAAGATTGATGTTAACGAGGGAGACGGCTTTCAAAGACATTTACCGCATAACAACGTATCTTAACTTCTCCTTAAGAGTTCGTCTAATACAGATTACTGAGGCCATTGGGATCCATATTAGGAAGCCTAATTTGTGCATCAAAAAGAAGCTAGTTCAGACACTGTCCTTACCTTGGCCATCAAGGTTCTAATGATCCTCAATTTTTTGTAGAAATTTGGGAACCAACCAACCAGCAACCTGTTGCCCAAGAAATGTCTGAGGGGAAAAGGAAATGTATTTGACATACACTATGTTGACATGATAGTTGAGTGATATAACGTTCTACGC